AAGGAGAGACTAGGGTATCTGCTTTTTATTTTTGGTGTTTTCCTGAAACTTTATTTAAGGAAACATTGCAGCTTTTTTTTTTTTTTTTGTAATGTAAAAAGCATCCCATAGGGGACATATGCTATGGAATTTTTTAAAAGATTTATTTAGGCATGCACACAGGATGGGGGTACAGGATGGGGGTGGCGTGGTGAGAGGATTCACCAGAGATAGAGTGGGGTGCAGAATAGGCAGATGGACTGAAACACACTGCTGGGGGGGGGCAGCGGGCAGGTCAGGAGAGGTCTGCTGCGCCATGTGGGTCAGCTCCCTGCAGGGGGTGGGACTAGTGCTGTAGTGACTGCAATAGCTTCACAGTGCTGTTGGAATATATATTTTTAAATAATATAATAGCTTATTTTTACATCATTTTGTGCCTTTTTCCTTCTCAGCTGTAATCCCTGTGGGCTTCCCATCACCAAATCACCCGTGTATACCACATTTATATTTTTTCTATAATCATCATATAATAGTTTATTATATATATAACATATACATAATAGTTTATTTTTACAACATTTTGTGCACCCTGTGGGATAGTTTAAGGCAAATCCCAGACATCATTTCACAGCCGATTTCTCAGGGAGTGTTTCTAACCAACAAAGACTTTTCTGGTGTTCTTATGTAAGGACGCTGTGCCATCGTCGTAGCTACAACTGTGTCTGCATGAGAAACGCTGCAGGTATCATTCCTCTCCCATTTGCCAGGTGAGGAAATGGAGACGAAAGAGGGAAGTAACCTATGGAAGGGCTCACAGCAAGCCTGTCAGGGCTGGGGCCCACGTCAAGGCCAAGGGAGGCCCGCGCCCACTCACTGACGTTCCTGCCCTGCCGGCTGCATGCTAGAAGCGGCGCCCAGCAGGGCAGTGACAGCCCGTGCGGTGGCCTCAGTTTCCTCCCCAGAGTAGGCAAGAGGGCACCTGGTGGCCGCTTGGGGTTGGCTGTAGCCAGCGCCTCCGCCTTCCCTGTGCCATGCCCTCATTCCAGGGCAGTTCAGCCGGCGCCTGGGTCCCTGGGGCCCGGGAACACGGTGTCTGTGTCCCCTTCCTTCCCCAGAGGGACCTGAGGTGAGGCCTGCAGAAAGGACTGTGTCACCTGCTCAGAGGTGCCGGTGTAACCGAGACCCCAGCAACAGGAGGAGGGACGTGGGGGGGGGGGCGTGCAGAGCAGGGTGTGGGTTCTGAAAAATTCTTTGCTAAATGTGCCTGACATTTTGTTCCTCTCTTGGCTTTCTGAAAATAATTTAATACAAATTTTTAAAAACCTTTTATTTATGCATACAGAACATGGATACAGGCCAGAGGCTCAGGGGTGGTGAGAGGATTCACCAGAGACAGAGTGGGGAGCAGAACAGGCAGATCAACGAAGTACACTGCTGAGGGGAGCAGCGGGCGAGAGAGCAGAGGTCTGCTGGGTGTTGTGGGTCAGCTCCAGGGTGGGGATCGAACTCATGCTGAAGTGGCTTTAGTGATGCACAGGGCACCCTCTCTGCTGACAGCTGCTGAGGGCTCGGGCTCCTTCACCCCCAAATCTTCACTGAATCCAGAACAAGGCACACACACATTGATTTTGGACAAGACAGAGTGAGCACCTCATCACCAGAGGCACTGAACTCAAGATGGGACAACCTTCATTTTGTGGGTCACAGGCAAGAAAACCAAACAAAAAATATCCTGAAGTGCAGCACTGTGAAGCCAGCACAGCCACTGCAGCACAAGTTCGATCCCCAGCCAGGTTGGTGACCCACAATGCACAGCAGACCTCTCCTGACTGGCCCTCTGCTCCCCTCAGCAGTGAACTTCATCGATCTGCCTGTTCTGCTCCCCATTCTGTCTCTGGTGAATCCTCTCACTACCCCTGCACTCTGGCCTGAACCCCAGTTCTGTATGCATAAATAAATAAATCTTTAAAAAAAAATCTTGGTTTCTTTTGAGGGTTTCACTGTCAGCCAAGGATTCTGGCCAAAGCAAGGCAGCTACACCCCAAGTGTCCACTCGGAGAGCACAGGTTAAATAAATGTGGGACAGTCACACAATGTAATACTGCACAGTTATAAATAAGAAGTACTGAGAAGGTACTTACATGCTGAAGGTTAAGATACAAGTTATTTATACCCTGAAGTTACTTATGTACTGAAGATATATCAAGTGAAAAAAGGAAGGATAAAAATATTCTTTAAAAATGCAGAAAGATCGGGTTCAGACATTTGGTGTATGTGCTTGGCTGAGGAGCCAGTGGGGCGAGCTACATCTGTGGGATCATGACCGAACACCTCTAAGTTAGAATCCCGCCCAGGCGGAACAATACTGCACCACGGAGATAAAAAAAAAAAATGCAGAAAAAACGAAAATGCAGACCCATATTTGCTTGTCTTTATACAAAGAAAAGGAGAACACAAGAAACAAATCTAGCAGCAGTGGCGGGGGTGGTGGGGTGGAAAGGGGAGGAGGACGAAAGCCTTTTTACATTTTTTGGATATTTGAGATCCGTGGATGTATTGTCTATTTGGGGGGGGGGGGGAAGCCCTAGTAATACGAATAAAAAGGCTTTAGTCCCTAACTGTTGAAACTGGCCTCATCCTGCTGGGCTAAGCCCAGCTGGCCTCATCCCCCCAACCCCCACCCTGCACCCCCACTTCCTCTAATGCTTCAGGCAGTACTGTTCACTGTCCTGGACCACCCTTGACTTGTGGGGCCAAAGGTCCACGTGGAGCCGGTAAAGCAGAGCCTTTCTTCTTTGCCCACGACTTGCCCTGTCTGAGCAGTGAGCCTTGTTCGAGAAGCCCCTCAGTCTGGTAGTTTCTCCCGTCCTCCGATCCCTCTCTGTGGGCAGGCAGGGGCTAGAAGGTGTTTTTTTTCGTTTTTTCAAGCTGGGAAAACCGAGAGTTAGAGCAGTGCATTTGAACCCCAAAGCCCAACACAAGAGCCCAGGCTGCCAAGGTGACCCATTGGGACTCCCCAGTCTTTCTACCAGCTAAGGCGTGCAGGGATGGGGGTGGCTCCGACTGGCTCCCATCCCCAAGGGGCCAGAGTCCTAGCCCTTAATGCCCCCTGGACTCCAGGCTGTGCCTCCGCAGGAGAGGCCTGGGTCAGGCCAGGGAGCTCAGACCAGTAGCTGGTCTCTGCGTCCTCTGGCCTGGGCACCCACCCCTTGGTAGCTGTAGATGCCTGTGGATATTCAACCCCCTCCCCTGAACTTAGTCAACCGGCCAGAGGCTTGGTGTCTCCCCAACTGGGCACAGGCCTTCCTGAGGACTAGCATGGCCCAGGGGCAGGTCTGAGTTTCACACCCCCAGAGACTCCAAGACTACCTGGAGATGGGGGATTTGTATATATATTTTTTAAAGATTTATTTATTTATGCATACAGAACTCACAACTGGGGTGTAGGTCAGAGCTGCAGGGGGTGAGAGGATTCACCAGAGACAGAGTGGGGAGTAGAACAAGCAGGGACTGAAACACACTGCTGAGGGGAGCAGCGGGTGAGACAGGAGAGGTCTGCTGTGCCCTGTGGGTCAGCTCTCAGGCCAGGGATAGAACTCATGCTGCAGTGGCTGAGTTAACCCCTTGTGCACAGGGAGGGCCCAGGATTTGTATCTTTTTGACAAGAGGGGAAACTAGAGTCACACAGACAGTGTGATTTCTGCTTTCCCCAGCTTGTGAGGAGGGGGTGGGCTTTGTGTGTGTGGGTGCTTTGGGTGTACTCTGCCTGGGGCTGGGGCCCTGCCTTAAGCTTCTGAGTGACAAAAGCGATGCAGCAACATCTTCCCGAGAAGATAAGCTCCCTGGAGGGGCCTGCTGGGAAGCAAGGGGCTGTTCAGCCCAACCAGCAAACGCCCTGCCTCTGAGCCTCTGCCCAGGGCTGGAGGCTGTGGGCAGCCTGTGGTCACGCTGGCATTCCGGACCCTGCCTGGCATGTGGGGAATGTCCCAGCAAAGAGTCCAGGCCTTCAGATGGCTCAGAACAGGGAAGAGTTCCTGGGGGTGGGGGGTGGTGGGGGGAGAAGGGGAACTGCGGGGAATGTCCCCTTTGGGGAGGAGGATGGAGAGCCCTGCTGAGGGAGGGAACAGGGCTGAAACCAGTGTGACCCCTCCGGTGTGGTGTGCGGAGGTCCGGGATTCTAGGAGGTGCGACCCAGGGGTGTCAGCGGCCGGGCACGCTGGCCTCGGAGGCTGGAGCCTGCTTCCCCTCTGGGTCTGTGCTGCCCAGAACTGCTGCACCTCTCTGACCTGGGCGGGAAACGCAACGCTCAGTTCCTGCACTGCTCACCCGGCCGCTGCCCAGTAGACGACCCTGTGGTTTCTGCAGCCCCGTGACGGGGACCGTGGTCACCACCACACTACCAAGAGACCTATTTCCGCCGGCCAGGCAGGTTCCCCAGGCCACAGGTAGGGGTCTGGCAGGCCTCGGGGAGGGTCCTGGGAGACTCGGAACCCTCCGGAAAGTGCCGCCCCGCCCCGCCCAGGAAAGCCCGGGCGGCTCGGGTTTCAGTCCGCAGACCCCTCCCAGCTGCTGGCTCCCCCACCCCCTCGGCCCGACGACCCCCAAAGGGGCCCGCTCTTCGCTCCTTCAGCCTCCCGAGTGAGGCTCCTCCGAGCTGCCCCCCGCCCCGCCCCGTCCGCACCGACTCGCCCCGTGGCCTTTGCTGTCTCAGTCACAACCTCAAGCCTGGCTCGCCCTTCCTCCCCCTCGCCCTCGGCCTGGGTGGGGGGCCTCTGAGGGGTGACGGCAGTCTGGGTGAGTCCTCGGGCTGCGGCGGCGCCGGGGAGAGGAGCCGACCCGCTGGGGGCGGGGAGCTGCAGAAGCCCGCAGCGCAGGCGGGGGAGCAGCGGGGCGCGGGGCCCGCTCGCTCGGCCCGGGAGCCCCCTCCCCGCCGAAGCCCCGGGAGGGCCGAGGAGGGGCGGGGCGGGGCCTAGGGGCGCTGACGTCATACCGCCTATAAAGGGGCTCGGGCGCCACGGGCAGGCTTTGTGGAGCGCTGCGGAGGGGACGCGCCTGGCCGCCGCAGCCTAACAAAGAAGTGGGGCCCCGCCGCAGGGACCCATCACCCACCTCTGGGCCGCGCCGGGGGCTCTCCTGCGCGCCGTCACCATGACCGCCAACGGCACGGCCGAGGCGGTGCAGATCCAGTTCGGCCTCATCAACTGCGGCAACAAGTATCTGACAGCCGAGGCGTTCGGGTTCAAGGTGAACGCGTCGGCCAGCAGCCTGAAGAAGAAGCAGATCTGGACGCTTGAGCAGCCGCCCGATGAAGCGGGCAGCGCGGCTGTGTGCCTGCGCAGTCACCTGGGCCGCTACCTGGCGGCGGACAAGGACGGCAACGTGACCTGCGAGCGCGAGGTGCCCGGCGCTGACTGCCGTTTTCTCATCGTGGCGCACGACGACGGCCGCTGGTCGCTGCAGTCCGAGGCTCATCGGCGCTACTTTGGTGGCACCGAGGACCGCCTGTCGTGCTTCGCGCAAACCGTGTCGCCGGCCGAAAAATGGAGCGTGCACATCGCCATGCACCCGCAGGTCAACATCTATAGCCTGACCCGCAAGCGCTACGCGCACCTGAGCGCCAAGCCCGCAGACGAGATCGCGGTGGACCGCGACGTGCCGTGGGGCGTCGACTCGCTGATCACGCTGGCCTTCCAAGACCAGCGCTACAGCGTGCAGACCGCCGACCATCGCTTCCTGCGCCACGACGGGCGCCTGGTGGCGCGCCCGGAGCCCGCCACCGGCTACACGCTCGAATTCCGCTCCGGCAAGGTGGCCTTCCGCGACTGCGATGGCCGCTACTTGGCGCCGTCCGGGCCCAGCGGCACGCTCAAGGCGGGCAAGGCCACCAAGGTGGGCAAGGACGAGCTCTTCGCCCTGGAGCAGAGCTGCGCCCAGGTCGTGCTGCAAGCGGCCAACGAGAGAAACGTGTCTACGCGCCAGGGTGAGTGGGACGCCGCCCCCCCCCCCCGCCTCCTGGTGGGTGCACAAAGCTCACCCCACCCGGCCCCTCCAACCTCCCGCCATTTCGCCCTCGCCACCGCCGCAATCCAGAGCGAAGCCGGCTGCGCCCCCGCTAGGCTTGCGGTCCACCCCACCCGCCAGGGACGTGCGCTCACACCCGGATGCCCACCCTTGGTGTCCGGTGCTGCACACCCCCATCCAGCGTTGGGATTGGGGCTCCCCAGGCCCGGTAGTCTCCACCCTCTGTGCCACGGTCCGAACCCCTGGCCCAGCCTGGGTTCTCTCGACACGCACAGCTTTGGGGGTGGGGTGCGCTCTCCCCTTTGCTCGTGCCCCTCCCCCACCAACAGGCCTTTAACTCCGGGGCGGAGGCGAGGGTCGCCAGCCCTGCAGGCCGCGCCCCTAGCCCCAGAGTCCACAGTTCTCGCGAGTCACGCGGGCGCCTTTGATCTCCTCGGGAACCCCTCCACCCCCCACCCCCCAGCCTCTAGGCCAGTCTTCTAACCTCTCAGGGAAAGCTGAGGCTGCTGTAGGGGGCACCCCGAGTCCTGCCCTTCTCCCCGCAGCCCCGCCTCTCGCGGCTGCCCGGGTCTAGGCCGCGGCCTTTGTGAACAGGGGGGCGGGCTCCTCAACAGGGCCCTCCCTCGCCCCCTTTGTCCTGCTCAGTCTCTGGATGGGAAAACCAGATGCGGCGGGAGGGGGGCGGGGGTGAGCTTTCAGCGGGTCCCCCCGACGCCCTGGGCCCAGTGCCCGGGTCCCGAGCCTCTCCCGGAGGCGGCCTCCTCCCTGCGCCGCGACCCCGGGACGGCATGGCGCGGAGGGCGGCTCGCCAGGCACCCCGCCCTGCGCCCGCCGCGTGTCTGAGGGCGGCCGAAAGTCGCCGGGCGGCCCGAGCGTCGTCGGAGGGAGGCCTCAGCGCGAGCACGGCGCCCCTGTCCGGCTTCCTTCCAAGCCGCCGCCCCTCGAGCGAGCCCATTCCCAAGGCTCCGGCCCGAACAATTGGCTGCAACTCGTGTGTCCCCTCCGGGGCCTCCCACTAGCCCGGCCATTTCCTACTGGTCTGCGCGCCAGAAACGAGCCCCCTCCCTTTTTCTTCATAGATCCGCTTCCCCCTCTCCCCCGCGGATTCTCTTCTGGTGTCCTTGTTTCTACTTTGGGAAGGAGATTGATTCCTTGCAGCCTGGTGGAGAGACATGTGGGGGTCTTCTCCTGGATGGGCGTTTGGACCCCAGCCTTGCGGGGTGGGAGCCCGGATCAGTGGTCTCCCGCTTGAAGGGAGACTTTCCCCTATGGCCCCTGTCCTGAGCGTGCTCTTTGGAGATGTTGGAAGCACCAGGCAGTGGGGGTGGAGGCCAGAGTGGGATGATGGCTGTTTCATGCCTGTTTGCTGATTGAGGTGGCGATATCATTTCTTTTCTACAGATGGGCTTGGTTTAGGACCAGAGAGGTGAAGCCATTAGCCCAAGGTTACAGAGCAAGGAAGCAGCGTGCAAAACTGTGTTTGACTCCAGAATAGCCCTTACCTGGACCCCCTGATGCCTCCCAGCACAGTGGACTTCCCCTTTGTGGTCCCACACAGTACTGGGTGGGACAGGACCCCCCACCTGTTCAGCAAACAATGAATTTCCAGAAAATGTGACATGCTGAGATCTGAGTAGTGAACAAATAGGTATATATCCTCCTGGAGGGGCTTAAGGTCACCTCAGTTGGCACATGATCAACATCGCAGAGGTGTGGGACAAAGGCCTGAGGACCCAGTAAGTATGACAGAGTCTGAGATTAGCTGGGGATGGGCTGTTCGGAGCAGAGCACTCAAGCCGAACGGTAAGAAGAATGGAAGTGGAAGGAAGTACCTATCAGGTGCTTGGAATGGACCTGCGGGCAGAGGCATGGCTTGTACAAAGGTCCTGAGGCAGAAAGCTGCATAAAGCCCAGTGTGACTGGAAAGAAACCTGTTGGTAGATGGGACTGAGTGACCAGCTGGGCCACAGGAACCTTAATGGACATTCAGCACAGGCATACTTGATGCATGTTAGGTGAAGCCTAGCACCTTCACTGGGGAAGGGTAGCGGAAGCAGGTGGCCTGGCCCTAGCCTTGGGCTCAGGAAGGAGCAGAGAGCGCCTGAGGGTGTTTTTGGCAGCCACTGGTGAGCTTGGACAGATGCGGTCCCCTTTCTAGTAATGCTCACTGGGAGTGTCACGCTGTGATTCAAGCTGTGGAGCAGAAGGGGCTGGAAATTGGGCCAGGAAAGGTGTTGCCTCTTCTGTGAGTTTACAGGGATATGGAACTGGCGGGGAGGACTTTGGGGGCTGAGATTGTAGGCTTTAGACTGGGGTCCTTGACTTGTTATGTTAGCAGACCCAGGGCTTCAGGTGGGATGGAGGGTGATACAGGACCTGGAGGCAGCCTAGAATGGGGGGTGGAGGGGCTCTGCGTCTGCAGAGGCCATTTTAGGCAGGTCTGCGTGGCAAGGAGGATGCAGGCAGCTGTGCCTTCCACACCTGTCAGGAAACGCCAGCCAGAAAGACGAAGGAGGACCCTGGGCTTAGCTGACGGGGGGATGTGAATCATCCCTGCAGGCCTGCACAGGCCAGGCCTGGTGGGGGCAGGGTCTTCCTGCTGAGACTGCAGGCTGCTCCAGTCTCCTTTTCTCCATCCGTGAAAGCCAGTCCTACATCTGTCCTGGACAGCCTGTCAACCAGCTTTATTCCCAGGGGGGTTGTTCTAGCTTCCAGCGAATGTTGAGGCAGGTGGCATGTGTCCATCCTAGATCCTGGGGTGTGGTGTAGCTGTGCCCACTTCAAAGGTGAGGGCGTGGCTTGGGCAGGGCCTCCTAGAGAGCAGCATTTCATGACTGGACTGGGCTCTGTTTCTAGGGAGCCTCACCTGCCCTGGGCTCCAGCCAGTCGCCATGTTGCCCAAGTGATGTCTCTGCTGCCTTGCATCTAGTCAGCTGCACCCTGGGGTCTCAGGAAGGCCCCTGCCCCAGTCACTCAGAGGTGAGGCTGCTGTCTAAGGGAAGGGCTGGCCAAGCTGGGTCTTGCAGGTTGCATAAGAGTTCTCTGGGTGAGGCAGGTATTTCAGGCCTGAGGAATGACTTGTACAAGGATGGAGGAGGGATCTGAAGTGGTGAGATAGTGGTGAATACTGATGGGAAAAAGGGAAGTGGGTGAGATGAGGCCACACTGCTCCAGGCCCCTCCTCCACACTGAAGCTGGCCTGTTTGAGAACCACGGGTGGGTGGGGGCGGTGAAGAGCACACCAGGGAGGGAGAGGGAGTGCCCCTCTGAGCCAGCATCCAGAGAGCTCAACGTCTGCTGCTCTGTGTGTGGGAAGCAGGAGATAGGTCCATCCGTGGGCTCTGTAAGCCCCCAGCTGCCGGGCTCCCAGGTCTCCTGAGGGCTGTGACTCAGGTTTTCTGTGCTGTTGTTGATGAAAAGAAAAATCCCGAAGAAAAACCCTGTTCCCATAGTAACGTAGGCTCTAATTAGAGACTCCAAGGCCAAGTGGGGCCTCTCCTGTCTGGGCAGGGCCCTCGAGCCAGCAAGGGCCCGCTGGGTTTGGGGTGGGGATGGGTGGGAAGGGGAGACCAGAAGACCTTATCACCAGGATCCTAAATACTTCCAACTTCTTAGAAAAATGGAGAGACAGAGCCCTGTGGACAGGGAGAGGGAAACTGAGGCTGCGTGAGGCAAAGCACCTGTTGAGGGGTACATCACTGGGTGGTCTTGTCCTTCTCCCCAGATCAGTTCCAGGACTAGACTCAGTCAGGGCCGGGTCTGAGGAACAGCAGTTGTGTGCCCTGGGCCCAGAGCAGGGACCCTGTGGAGCCGCCCTTCGCCCCGTTAGTAGCTAGTAGGTGCCTGGAGCTGCTGCAAGGACGCAGGGCCACGGCGGGCTGCGCCGGGGAGAGCTGAGTCTGCCTCTTGCACCAGGAGCCGTGTGCTGGGTTCAGGTTCAGAACTGTCTTCCTGGGTCCGCCCTCAGGCGGGCTGCAAGGCTGTCATCCAGGTGAGCTGGAAAGCACCCTGCAAATCTGCAAGGCTGTGTTCAGATGCGCCTCGGAACCCCAGGATAAAACTGCTGGAGATGTGCCTCTATCCCATGTCCTTCCCTGCCCCCCTTTCTGGGGAGCCTCTTTTGTGTGGACCCAGAGGGCCGTCGTGCATGGTCTGTCCCCGCCTTCCCTTGAGCCTGTCCACCAGGCATTGTGTGGGTGGTACCCTGTGGGCAGGTGCTGGGGGCAGGGGTCTCGGCAGAGCAGGGGGGTGGCAGCCCTGCAGCACTGGGGGCGGGCAGCTGCGGGGTGCTGGGCGTGGTCTGAGCAGGCCAGACCCTTGCCAGCTGTGGCCTTAGTCCCATTCTGGGTGGTGGCTCAGGTGTCCAGCAGGCCTAGCCCCTGCCTCACCTAGGGCTTTTCTGAGGTGCCAGGTCGCTGACATCGAGGCTGAGGGGTTCAGTGGACCTGGAGGTTGAACCCAAGGGCTGGGCCTCAGAGGAGGGGTGGTGTGGCAGGAGGCTCCTTCCCACCTTCCTCCCAGAGCGACACCTGGGCTCCTGCCTTTACCTGGGGTGACCTTGGGCAGCCCCGCTGCGCCCTGTGTGTCCTGGGATGATTCTGGGTTACTCCTGGAGGTACCGCCCTCCGCTTTCTCCCATCTTCATGGTGCTGGTGAGGGCAGGGGGGTAAGGCGGGTGTAGTGCTGAGAGGGGCAGAGGGAGGCCCCTGGCGCGTGCCCGCCACCTGCATCAAATCGGAAGTGCCCTCTCCTCACCCCCATGGTCCCTGCTCCGTGGGGGTGTCGAGGCCCAAACGGTGACCCGTGCGCGAGCCTGGACACCAGCAGCCAGCCCTGCTGCCGCAGTTCTGGGAATTGGGCGGTCGGAGAACGTGACTGCTGTGCCCGCAGCGCTCCACTGGCGAGTCAGCACAGACTGCGCGGCTGGGGGCTGGGGCGTGGGCTGCATTGGGGGGCAGCCCCACGGCCCCTGGGGTCACGCCGTGGGGTGCTGGATGGGGGCCATCTGTGCGACGGCATCTTTTATGCTTTGACGAGCTAAATCTTCTGAGAGGAACATGTGTTATGTCTCACTCTTCTAACTTGAAGGCAGAAGCAGGAAGGATGATGAGCCCCCACATACTGACTCCCCCAGATTTGATATTCTGCTGTGGCAGCTCCATCTGTCCCGTCATTGTTTTGGGGTGTATTTAAAGCAAATCCCTGGCATCAGGGCATCTCGTCGCCAGATACTTCTGTCTGTATCTCTAAAAAAACCGAGGCCATTTTCTTACATAAGCACATGATGAACAATAATTAAACCTTAATACCTGACCCCAGGCAGTGGACTGTCCCCTCTCGGCTCAAGAGCGCCTCTTCGCACTCGGTGTGTTCCGCGGTGGTGTCTGCGGTTGGAAGGTCCCGTGAAAATGGACAAAGCTGGCCCTGGTCTCTGGCCGGCCCTGCCTGGGGTCCTGGCGCCTGCCCTCTGGGGTGGAGGCCCAGGGGTCCCAGGCGGGCTGCGGGGTTCCTGCAGCCCCGTGTGTTGTGAGTCCCCAGCCCTGTGGGTCCACCCGGTCCTAGTGCAGCTGAAGGCTCCCCCACAGGTATGGACCTCTCGGCCAATCAGGACGAAGAGACGGACCAGGAAACTTTCCAGCTGGAGATTGACCGGGACACCAAAAAGTGCGCCTTCCGCACCCACACGGGCAAGTACTGGACGCTGACGGCCACGGGGGGCGTCCAGTCCACCGCCTCCACCAAGTGAGTGTCGCTGCCGCTTTTCCCACCTGGGCCCTCCCTGGGGGGGTGCTGGGGGAGCCCCACCTGACCCTGTGCTGCCACCCCCAGGAACGCCAGCTGCTACTTCGACATCGAGTGGCGTGATCGGCGGATCAACCTGCGTGCATCCAACGGCAAGTTTGTGACGGCTAAGAAGAACGGGCAGCTGGCCGCCTCGGTGGAGACAGCAGGTAGCTGCCGCCGCCCCAAGCCCAGGACCCTGCGGGACCAATCAGGACGGGCCCCTGGGTCGGCCGCCCCTCCAGCTAACCCCGCCCCAGGCTCACCCCAAGGCTGACATACACGCTGTGACCCTGCGCCCCTCTCGTCTGAGCCACCGCCTGGCTTACCCTGAGGCTGACCGCCTGCCCCTTCCCTCCTCTGGGCCAGGGGACTCGGAGCTCTTCCTCATGAAGCTCATCAACCGCCCCATCATCGTGTTCCGCGGAGAGCACGGCTTCATCGGCTGCCGCAAGGTCACCGGCACCCTGGACGCCAACCGCTCCAACTATGACGTCTTCCAGCTCGAGTTCAGCGATGGCGCCTACAACATCAAAGGCAGGTTCTCGGGCCGCTGCCGGGGGGGGGGGCCGCGGCGGACTCTCCCTGGACTTGATTAGCCATCTCAGGTCCAGGGATAGATGTCCTGTGACCAGCGAGGATTGGGGGCAGGGAGCAACCCCTGCCCCTTGTTGTCTATGCAGAGGGGAGACTTCCCTGGGCAGGGAGGGGCAGAGCCGAGAAGGCACAGCGGGAGGTGACGCCAGAGTCATGGGACTGAAACCTGGGCGGGGGTCCCTGGATGGGTAGGAGGCCTGGGGGGGCCACGAGTGAGGGTGGAGGGCCAGGTCGAGTGGGGCCTGATGGGGACTCTGCCCCTAGACTCCACAGGCAAGTACTGGACAGTGGGCAGCGACTCCTCGGTCACCAGCAGCAGCGACACGCCCGTAGACTTCTTCTTTGAGTTCTGTGACTACAACAAGGTGGCCATCAAGGTGGGCGGCCGCTACCTGAAGGGAGACCACGCGGGGGTCCTGAAGGCCTGTGCCGACACCATCGACCCCGCCTCTCTGTGGGAGTACTAGGCCGCCCCGCCGCCCCGCCCAGGCCCCTGCCAGCTCTCCTCCCGCGGCTCTGCCTTGGAGGGCAGGCCCCTCGCCTCTCAAACTGGAAGCCCAGAGGCCCGCTGCCCCCTGCGGGTGCCCCGGGTGGGTCCGCGGCTATGGCCGCTCTGTGGCCAGATTTCCGTCCTTCTCTTCTCTCATGGGCGAGGCTGGCACCTCTTTCTTCTGACCTCAGACAACTCTGAGCCTTATTTCCCCAGAACTGGCCGAGAAGTGGGGATCCAGAGGCTTGCCCGACCCCTGGGCGTGGTGGGGTGTGTAACTGGAATCTCTTGCCCCTCCAGAGGGCCTCCCTGCTACTTCCCCAGGCCTGGGCACTTGCCCCAAGCCTGTGGGCGCCACCCCCTGCTGCACCAGGGGGAGCGCCTCAGGGTGGGGCCGAAACTGGATGTGCTGCCACTTGCCCCTTGTGCACGGAGCAGGCCTGCCTACCACACACACGCTGTGGCCGGGGCCCTGGTCCTGTCTCTTCTCTCACCCTGGCCTGACTGGAAGCAGAAAATGACCAAATCAGTATTTTTTTTTTTTTTTTTTAAATGAAACATTAGTATGGAGGGGTCCTGGGCATGCAGACCTGTTTGTGGCTGTGAATGGTCTTCCCGGGCTGGGAAGTGGGGGTGTCAGGACCTGCTTCTGGTGAGCCTCTGCCCACTTAGGGTGGGGCAGGCAGGGTGCCTTCTGAGTCTAGAACCTGCCCTCCTCTCTCCCTGCTAGGGGTTCTCACTGGCCCCCTCCGCCCCCTGCCCAGCGTCCCAGGTCCGTGTCCCCCAGGTGGTGCTAGGCCCCTCACGTCTCAGCCAGAGCCCCAGGGGGTTCGGTGCTCCTCCCGCTGGATTCCTGGGGTGGCATGAAGCCTACCCTCAGCCTGGAGCCTGGGGGCAGCTGTCCAGCTCCCTGGTTCTCAGCTCCCAGACCCACCCACAGGTTTCCCCACCTCCACTTGTCTCTGCCATGCATCTCACTCTGGGTGTCTTGGTCTTATATTTTTTTGTAAGTGTCATTTGTATAACTAAACGCCCATGATAGTAGCTTCAGACTGGAAAGAGCAAAATAAAACAATGCGTCTGCGGCCCCAAGGCCGGCCTGTGTGTGTGTCCTGGGGATGAAAGTGGGCGGGGAGTGATAGGTGAAATGGGGGGTAGGGACTCGAGGGGCTCCCGCAGGTGATCAAAGTAGCCTGGACACTACGGAGGAGGGCATCCAAGAGGGTGAGCTCTGGGTCTCAGAGGTCTGCCGGGACCACCGGTGAGCACAGCACGGCAGTGGGAGCTTGGGTGGGTTGGTGACTGAATCTGGGGTTCGCCAGTATCCCTCTACCGATATCTGTGAGGCCTGGAGCCAGGAGTGCAGGTGTGTTGGAGCCGTTGTAACCACATACCTGCACGCATGGAAGGTAGCAATGGCATCAAAGCAAGCCGGTGCACTGAACTTCCAGCTTCTGCGGCAGCACTGTGCAGGGAACTTGGTCCGGGGTTCTCCCCTTGCTGCAGGGGGCACTTCTGGGCACCTGAGAAGACAGGCCTAGGTGGGGGTTCTTAGAAACAAGTCATCTTGGCTGGACTAAGTTGGGGGCTGCTGGTGATGGGAGGCTGCTGGTAGCAAATCAGGCCTCAGGCCCAGCTCTGGTGGGAGGGAGGCGGCATTTCTCCAGCTGGCAGACTAGAAGCTTCCAGGGTGAACCTGGGCTTGGGCTGTCCAGGTGCGCCCGTGACCAGTGCTTGGGCCTCGGGAGCGGCAGGGGGGAATCTTAAGTCCTGGGCATCCTCGGGGTGGTGCTTTGTTCACATCTTACAGAGGATGTGCTGAGGTTCAGCCTTACGGGGGTGGGGGTGTTTCGGGGAGAACGGGGTGGCTAGCAGTGTCCCAGGAGGCAGGCAGTGACTGAGGCTGGACCTGGAAGTGCAGCGGCGCGTCGCACGCCCGAGGTCCCCCGAAGGTGTCCAGCGGAGGTGCTGATTGGCTGCCGATGACGAAACTGGGATTCCTGCTCTGTGATTGGTGGTCCCCGGGGCGGGAGTCTCGAGATGGACAAGAACAGATGGCGACCGCAGGCGGATGTGCCCCCCGCGGGGTCCTGGCGTCCAGGCGCCTCTCCCCGCCCCGCCCCCCATATTAAAGCTAGGCTGGAAGCCAGGGAAGTCTCAGTGAGGTAGAGGAAACCCAGGAGGGCCCTCCCTGGTGGCGCGGCGGGTAAACGCGCAGCACCACGAAGCTGGCCGCAGCCGCCTCAGTGCGAGTTCGATCCCCGACCCCGAAGTGACCGCCTGGCGCAGCAGAGCTCTCCTGGCCCTCTGCTCCCCCCAGCAGAGTACCTCGTCGGTCTGTCTGTTCTGCGCCCCACTGTCTGGTGCCTGTACCCCAGTTCTGTGTGCATAAATAATTTTTTTTTTTAAAGAACAGATAGTGAATCCTCCCAAGCCAAACTCAGACCTTGAAAAGGGGCTGGGGGGAAGGGCTGCAGGTAGTCCCAGGTCAGCCCCCTGCGCTGTTTTAGATCCCACCAGATGAAGAGGGGCTGCTTGTTGTCCAGACCCCGGTGGGGGCAACCATGCACCTCCAGACGGTGGTGGACTCTGGGGCTGCCTCTGGAGCACCTTGGGGGCCACCAGACACACCAGCCCACAAGGATTCCCTTCTGATCTTTTTGGATTTGAGGTCACTCTGGTCAGAACTGGCTCCAGGGTCCCGCCGCTCTGATTCTAAGCAATGGGTTCTGTTGGGTTTGCTTCCTCAGCTGTTCCCCATTCACAGAGTCCTGGCCCAGCACACCACCCTGCACACACAGGTTTATGTACACGCCTGTGTGTGTGCGGTGCATGTATGAACACATGACACGTATCCCCATACACACAGTGACACGTCCACAGGCACACACCCCAGCTCCAGGAGTAAGGAAGCTCTGCGCCTGCCCTGCTTCAGCATACCGTGTCCCTGGACTCTCAACCCCTCAGTTGTCCTGTACCCTGACCTGGCATCTCCCCACCCCAGCTGGGTCAGGAGCACAGCTCAGAGGGTAGGTTTCCCCAAAACCTGCCATGGAGAAGGAGTACCAGCCAGCTCCCCATTGCTGAGGTAGGAAAACCAAGCCCAGAGTGCCTGGCATGTGGGCAGGCCTGCCAGACTTCCAGTTACACACCAGGGTTAACTGTGAGCTCCGCAGGTCATACTGAGGGGAAATACTCAAACTTGTAAGAAGACATAAGGGAAGGCTGACAGGAGCAGGTTTGTGCGAAGGTGGGGATGGCCCGTGGTCCTGGCTAGAAGGTGGTCGAGTGAAAATGGCGTCTCAGGGCCTAACCCTGGTCCTGGAACCTCTCATACCTGTCTGCTGGGATCTCACAGTCCTGACCCCTCAGGTGTCCAGTTGGGATGGCACCCCTAGCCCTGCAGGGGGGCTGTGGAGCTGCCCACAGCCCCAGGAGGACATGGTTAGGCTCCTCTAAGGAGGTCTCTGAGTTTCCCAGTGTGTCACCACAGGACACACTCCCTCCCCAGCTCAGACTCCTCCCCTACTTTTTTCTGAGGAGACCTCTGTGGGGTGAACCCCACTTCCTCCAAGGCCAGGTCACCCTCTGCCAAAATTGGGAAGGATGAACACGACCTCGAGTGACCTTGGGGATTTATAGCTTACAAATAAAGCATAAGGTAGACTGCAGAAGGATTCCCACAGTCTGTTTTGACCCCCCTGGCCTCAGTTTCCCCATTTAAGCAATGGGCAGTTGGCCTTCCTAGGCAGTGGGCAATAAAACTTGTGTGGGGGTGGAATAGGGAGCAGAGACCCTCGGAGCAGTGAGAGGAGAAGGGAACAGATGGGTCTCCCAGGCAGGAGGGGCCCAGGGGTGGGTTGGGCTGAACATCTGGCCTGAGCCCCTCTGGACCTACACAGGAGGAGGCTGGTCCCCCTGGTTATGCGAGCAATTAAGACAGAAGCTGCACTCTCCTCCTCCCATGACCCAAGCCTGACCCCTAAGGGGAGGGGTAAATCCACCCCTGAGCATCCCAGAGAGTGCCAGGAACCCCAGGCCGGGGCTCTGAAAGAGCTGCGGCTTTTGTATTGTCACTTTAAGAAATTATGATATATACTGAGGAGAGGGCAGGGCGTGAAGTCAAAGGGTGCCCAAGTTATGGAAAGGACTTGGCGACCCAACCCCTGCAACTCCCCACATAGCACCCTGACAGTATCTTGTATCTTCTGGAAAATTTTATTTCATATTTCATAAGGACCAGTATATAGGCCTTAGTATGTGCCAGGTACTAAACCTTTATTAACTCATTTAGTCCTCATGATGGGCAGAATTTATCCCTCTCCCCACTCATATGCTGAGGTCTTATCCCTCAGTGGGACTGAATTTACAGGCTTGAAGAGATAATTAAGGTCAAATGAGGTCATGTGGAGGAGGCCCCAACACTTGATGATTGGGGTCTTTATAAGAAGAGGGAATTCGGACACAGATACCCACAGAAGATCCTGTGAGGACACGGGGTTCCACACCAAGAGGAGGCCTTGGAGACCCAGCCCTGCCTGCACCTGGACTGCCAGCCCCAGCAGCAGGGGAAGTCTATTGTCTGTGGTGCATTGTTATGCCCTGACAGGCTGCTGTGTCCTTGTAACAAGCCCTGGGAATGTAGTTTCCTGATTCCCTTTTATGGTTGCAAAATGGAGGTTCACAGAGGTTAGGTAACTTGCTCAAGGTCAGGCACCCATTTTCTTGTGCAGCTGGGATTTGTATATAAAGACATGATGACTGGTGTTGAGGGGGTTTGGGGGTGCCCACATGGCTGTCCGTTATTCAGCCATTGACAAAAGCCCTGTAGTATTTGCTTTATCATTTTTAAAAGTTTGTCCTTTTTTTTTTTAAGATTTATTTATTTGTGCATACAGAACTGAGGTACAGGCCAGAGGTGCAGGGGCAGTGAGAGGATTCAACAGAGACAGAGTGGGGAGCAGAACAGGCCAATCGATGAAATACACTGCTGAGGGGAGCAGCAGGCGGGTCAGGAGAGGTCTACCTATCATGTGGGTCACCTCCAAGGCAGGGATGGAACTCATGCTGAAGTGGCTTTAGCCTCTCAGTGCTGTGCTTTAACCCACTGTGCCACTAGAAAGGGCCCTATCTTGTTATTTTTTTAAAAAAGAGCTGGGGCGTAGTCCAGAAGTGTGGGGGCAGATCGTGTGAGAGGATTCACCAGAGAGAGTGGGGAGCAGAACAGGCAGATTGACTGAAACACTGCTGAGGGGAGCAGCAGGCAAGACAGGAGAGGTCTGCTGTGCCGGGTGGGTCAGCTCCCTGACCAGGAATCGAACTCATGCTGCAGTGGCTATAGATAGCTTCTTAGTATTTGCTTCATCTTAGTTAATCAATTTTTAGTGTGGTAAAATACATATAACAGAATTGACCATCTTAACCATTTTTATTTTTTCATCTTAACCATTTTTAAGGTGCAGTTGGATAGTGTTCTATCCATGTGGTTGAGCAGCCAGCACCACTGTCCATCTCTAGGACACTGTATCTTCCCGAACTGAAACTCGTTAAACACTAGCGCACACCTCCCTCTCCTGACACCCCGACCCTCATGGTACTACGTTGTATTTCTGTGAATCTGACTCCTCAAGGGTCTCACATAAGTTGGATCATCCAGTATTTGTCTTTTTGTGTCTGGCTCATTTCACTCAACATATTGTTCTCAGGCTGGATCCACATTTGAGCACGTGTCAGAATCACTTCCTTTTTAAGGCTGCCTAATATTCCACAGAGTGGGCAGACTGATGAACTTTGTTAATCCTGATGGACATGTGGGTTGCTTCCTCCAGTCAGCTATTATGAATAATGCTTCTATAAACACTAGTATACAACATTTCTTCAAGACTCTGCTTTCAATTCTTCGGCGTGTATGCTCAGTAGAGTTGCTGGATTCCATTGTTAACATATTGATGAACCGCTGTTTCCCACAACAGCTGCACTATTTTCCATTCCCACCAACAAAACACAGGGGATTTGTTTTCTTTTACACATAGGTTGTAGCCTTTCCTGCTCGGCTCCTTCATTTGTCACCTAACAAATGAGCGTTTCCTTGTCTGCACA